AAACCGTCGGAGCTTAGACAGTTTATTTTACGATTTAATAAAGACATAGATAGAGTCGTAGGCTAGGCTGAGGCACATGGATTTCAGTTTAATTTCGATAAATTGTGTGCAGTTTTGGTGGGCACTAGTCAAAATCCCATGCATATAGACGAGACTAAACTGCTACCGCTTGTGGCTGGTAGTTGCGTAATTCCATTCATAAAGCAGGTTAAGACATTAGGGGTCTTGCTTTCGAACGACCTAAACTGGAACACCCACATGGCTGCTATTTGCTCGTGGGTTCATGGGATTCTCTATAGGCTGCAATATCGGGCTGGAATGTTGACTAGTTCCTTTAAGACGATGGTGGCATCTAGCTTGATAGTGCCTTATTTTGGTTATGCGTGTTTGGTATACAGGGATTTATCGGGGTATCTTGCTATTAAATTGGACAGGCTATGTAATACCATTGTTAGGTTTATTTTCAATCTCAAGCGTGATGCGTCAATGAGTCAGTACTATGCAAGTTTGGGGTGGCTGCGCCCAAGTGTTAAACGTGATTATTTTTTAGCAGTTGTATCGTATAAGGTATTGAGCACGCAAGAGCTTCGGTACTTGTACAATCTTTTCTCGGCGGGTGAGGAGCTGCAGTGTTCTGAGCGTCTCCCTCAGTCTGATATTAATGTCCTCGCGCACTTCTGAATTATTATGTGACGTTTTTTTCGCAACGTACAATAAAGTATTAGGACCAAATTTCCACATGCATTAGACTGAGCGACTCACTTGAGTCTTTTAAAGAAGCCTGCTACAAGCACTTTCTCCTGCATAGATTGGAAATTTAAAAAGAGCAGTGGCTTTTTCATGTTGAGCTAATTTTTATACAACAGTAAATGATTATTTTTAGTGAATAAATAAATGCATCTTCAAATTTTACTGCTAATTATATTTTTATTCCAGTATATTACTGCGATTATTAGCATTTCATTTATAGGCAGTATTGTGTATGCATGTTTGTAAGCGAAATATTTATGTAAGTTTTACGATTTGTATTGATATTTAAAAACCTTTACTATACGGGTACATGTAACCTTTAGTATTAATAAATTCTGTTAAACTCAAACTCAAACTCTCTCTCTCTCTCTCTCTCTTTCTCTCTCAAAGTATTATGGTTCTGGTATACTTAGTATGTTAATCTGTGCCACTAATTGTGTCATAATTTATTGTAGTAACATTGTGTACTAAATATTATAATTTTTTTTTTTTGTATTCTGTAATTTTGGTGACTTGCCATCCAGGTGTTTTACCCTTGGCATAAACAAATACGTTTTCAATCAATTAATCAATCTCTTTCTCTCTCTCTCTCTCTCTCTCTCTCCCTCTCTCTCTCTCTGTCTTTTTCCTCACCCATATTACCAGTTGTTCCTGCTTTCTTCTTTCCTTAAACGGTAAATCATATTACATAAACATATTCGTACCTTTTAATATATTGTTATTTTTCATTACGCATTCTTTATCTTCATTGTATCTTAACTTTACTACTGTGACCTAATCACTCATTTTTGTAGTAACTGTGCTTAATTTTATTTTTAAAACGTATCAGAACGAAACTTGCACTTATAGATTCATGTTAATCGCTTTTACGTCTCTCCCTATAACCCCAATGTCATTCATACGTTTTCCTCTCTCTTCTACTTGTACCAGTCTTTTCACTTGCATCACCTCTCTCAGAAACAGGAGACTCTTTGGGCTCCCTTCTAACCCCACTTTTTTACGCATCCTAAATTCCTTATTGGTACCATCCTTTTTTTTCTAAATTACTCTTTTTTTCTAGTGTGACAATCTTTTGTGCAGGCCTTTCGCAAAGTTTTTCTCAGATGACTTGGTTGTCAATCCTACTGGATACTGTTTACAGGGTACTGAGATTGGCTCAAGCACACCCCAGCTATTATCAAGTTTAATGGAAGAATCTTTTCCAATGAACAATCCAACTTGCTGTACAGATTTTTTATTAAAACTGATAGTGAATTTATGCAATAAACTGGTCAGGTGTTGGCTTTCCTTTGAAAAGGAAGCCCCTGGAGGTTTGCTAATATCTGGAGGTCCAGACATCACCAAAAAATTTAGTACTTATTTTTTAAGTTGTGGAAGTATTTTTTTTTTAATATCTTGGATACTTAACTCGTTGCAAAAGCCCGAGAAAAAATCTTGATAGTCTTTAACGGCAAATATTTAATGTTATGCATTTGATATAGATTATCAATACCTATGATACATTATGATAGAAAAATAGCTATCATAGCTATGATCATGCTTATACGTCTGAAAACTTTAGAAATAATGAAATAAAAAAGTGATGTATTCGTTTAGCTAGATATTTTTCCAGTGGGAGTAGAATGTGTCACTTGTAAAAATAGTAATGGGGAAATTTTGTCCCTTTCCACTATGATGCTGTGCCGTCTACTTCTGCCCTATGTAATCATGGCCTAAGCCTTCGTGTTCCACAAGATATTTTTTTATTACAGTAAATAAACATATTATTTTCTTATAACACAAAGACAAGTCTACTTATTAAGCTGTCTTTTTTATACAGCTATAATATAAGGACACGGCAGCATTGAAACCGCCTAGCCGATCAACTCGACCCAGGTTTTCTACTCAGTGGCTACCACGCCTGGTCTCTTTATGCTCATTCTTAGAAAGAAACTTAGATACTTGAACAAATTTAGCTTCCTTTGCCATGCTCCGATGACATCTGGCCTTCACAGCCCTCTAAGAAATCTAGCGCACAGCAGACGCAAAGAATCTCCAAGTTAATGTGTGTCTCATCATTTTGTATTGCTGGTTATCATTCAATAAATTTAATAAAATCACGTAGATTTTAATTTACAGGTGTGGGTGGCAGTGTAAAATATTAAATAACTTTTTGTTTAACGTTATCTTAACCATCATACAAACTTGTTCATACAGTAACACGAGGCAACATACTATGTTTAGTGCGTCAGTACAGCAAGCTTGGTAATGGTCACGCTTTTTCCTTTATTAGAGCATTTTTATAATTTGAGTAGGTGTCCTGCCCTCTAAGAACTCAAACAATTTTTTATACCTTATATATTTGAAGCGCGTGTAGCACCTTTGAAACTATTTTTTTCGTCATGTACAGATCATTATCATACTTCTCTTTTGTGTCAATCGTGCTCGGGATAGTGCTACCCTTCTGTATCCAAGACGATCCTGAACGAACAACTCTAGGAGATGACCGAGGCTTTAAATACTACTATCACTATAATAATTCTCCTTTAAAACGCTCAGACACATGCTAATATATAGACTTTCCTAGCCGTGGTGGCTTAAGATTTTGAAAAAGCAGAAATTACTTTAAGGAATGCCAACATACTTGTCTTAACTACGAAAGACAATTTTATCTTTGAGAAACTCAAAGTGGATAAAAAAATGTGTATTTTAAATATCGTCAATTTACTACCTAGGTCCATCAGTTCGTTCAAACAAATTAAAAACAATTTTTTGTCAACATTCAGTTCCTCTTAAGAGGAGCGCCTTTACCAGTTACTACAAAATAAGATCTCACTGGAACGAAACTCCTCTATGATCCTTAGTGGTATGCTAACCTTAGAGACTAAATATAGACATTTTTGGAGTAGACATCTTTGGAGTAGACCTTATCAAACAATCACTCTCAGCTTTCTCTGCTGCTCTTTTATTTTATAACTCAACCACATTTATTGCTCTAGCTAAACCAGCAGAGAGATTTGTAGGCTCTTTCTCTCTTAAAAAGCTCTACATCATTTTTATTTATAACTAGATTCATAAACAGATTTCTTCTATTAACGATGAACAACTCTCGATTTTTGAGAAACTCTCAGCTAATATGAAAAAGTTATGCTTATCAGAATGCCCTAACTGATTTTGACAAACCAATATTTTACAGTCACAGTAAATTGTTTCGTCAAAATAATAACCAATAGTTAAACAAAAGTTATTTAAAAACATTAAATTACCCATAATCAGCCTTACCATCTGCATTCTAAATTTGGTGATAAAGCATATGACTACCAAGGCAAATAATCCTGGCACCCTTCTCTCCCTATGAAAACTCGATTCTCTTCTATGAATGGAAGCTTTATCGGAGCAAGTTAATCGATTCAAACGCTTCCACATGCAAGAGGTATAAGTAACTGGGAAAAATCTTACTGGTTGATACTGCTGCCGAAGTCTCTAAACTGTCTAAAATTGATCCCAAGGCTAATCCTACCAATTTCTAACTCTTTGCTGCAAATAACACTGCTAATAATACCTACGATTCGGTAGCCTTAACGTTGACCCAAAATTATGTTTTCTCAAAAGTTCTCACCAATTTTCCTGAAGTCACGTAAAAAAACCACCACTACCTTAGACAATCAAAGACATTTTTATTACATCGAGACCACTGGTCCTCCAGTCGTGGAGCGTATCAGACATCTTGACCCTGAAAAATACAAAAACATGAGTGTACTTATTAAGCTATCTCATTTCCACAGCTACAAAACATGGTAGCGTTGTAACTGCCCAGCTAAGCTATCAAACGAAACCAAACACCTAACTGCTCATACATCCTATAGTCTTGCTCGTAGTGTGGCTCTCTAACGGTTAGGCTTGCACATCATAAATCCTCACATCAGTAACTATAACACTCACTAAAGTGTATTCTCAAGCAATCATCGTATTTTTAAAAGTACTGTATTTAAAGAACATAATAGGATTATCAGAAATAATTATGCTCTTAAAAATTATTTTTCAAGAATGGCTCTTTTTTCTTCTGCATTCGTAACTTTATTAACAATAAAATATTGGTCCAATCTATCTATAAACATTTCCCAATCATTTTTCGAAATATCAAAGTCTAAATNCATATATAAAGTAAAATATACAGTCTGCTTTCTATGATTAAATAAAAGCTTAAAATTAAATTGAAAGTTTATTCAAAAAAAATTTTTTTTTAGAAAAGAGACAAAGAAATAACTTACCTCAAAGTTTATCTTGCCAGCCGTCTGTTTATGTTTTATAGTATTGAATACGTAGTGAGCGTATTGGCTAGCATCTAAAAAGTAAGAAACACTTTTTTACATTACTACTTTTAAATTCTATGAATCGTAAGCATAAAGAAAATGAAAATTGTTTATTTACAATTAGATGGTGAAAAAAATATTGAAAAATAGAAATAAACGTTTGAATCGAGAACAAGACATTTAATTTTTACACATTGTAAATTATTTCTTAAAATAAACTAAATAAATGAGGTAGTTAGATAAACAGTTATTACTTTTTAAAGTTATGAACTCTCTTTGTAGCGTATTATTTGTCATAAATGATAGTACTTGACAGATTTGGCTACATAAGTTGTCAGTAACAGTAAAGGAGATAAAAAAAAAGCTTTCTCTTCATACATGTATTTTATTTTCACTAATTCTCATTCATCAGTGTATATGTATGTAGCCCTGATGGTAGGCGTATTTAGAAAAAAGTTCTTAAGTACAATAAAGTACTTTTATGAGGGTTATTCAAAGTAAGAATTCATCTTGTGTTCAGTAAGTTCTGAAATAGCTCTAATAGTATTTCTCACAGCAACTGAATCTAATCTCAAGTTACCATTGATTTATTAAAAAGCTCTACAAGGTATAGTTACGAATGAGTGTCTTAAACATGGTCTGAAGATTTCCTTTGCTTTTTCATGCTTAGTAATAGCGAAACAAATATTTCTTACATCAAGGAATGTACGAAGTGTTTAACATTGATCTAACTACTAATTGCATAAAGAATCTTTTTAAGAGTAAATAATTTAATAAATACTGAAGCAAAATTCTAAGAAAAATTTTCAAAATATTATAGAATTAGCCAAAGATATGAAAACCTAACGACACAGCATGCCTAAAAGATTTTGCTTATCAAATAAGGAAACGTTATTTCTTTAATCAATATGTACAACTCTTATAATGTTAAACTCTGATAAAATTTCATCATTCAAAACTTCAAAAGATTATGGGTGATATGAGGAATCTATCATAAATGCAACGGAAATTAATTAAATGAGATTAATAAACAAGTTAGTATTGACAAGCTAACAAATATGGTAACAACGTATGCAGATTTATCTCCTACTTTAAATTTGATCCTTCGAAACGCTGTTGAGAGAAAAAAAAAATTTCCTTTTGCTGTAACGGGCGGTTAATACTCAAACGCCGTTTACACTCATCTAAACTGCGCGAGGAAGAAAGGCCAGAGAGAGAGCGAGAGGGGAAGGGAGCGCGATAATGCGTGCGAAAGAGAGAGAGAAAGGAGAGACAAGCGTCTTGATATGAGTATTAGCGAGGGACGCTCTTGGCCATTGGGCCAGAAGGGATTAGGTATAGGTAGAGAAAACACGTGTGCGTCTCTCACCCGCTACGTTTGTCAAGCCACGAGAGGACAACCTCGACATCGCCTCGCCCGCTTCTACAGCCACGTACCCTCGACAAGAAGGCTTACCGGCTAGACACCAGGTCGAGTATTCCTGCTGAGAGGCCAACTGCTAGGCGAGCAGGTGCAAATAAGAGGCTGCGAAAAGCCAGGTAAGCGCAGTGCGTGCGCGAGAATCGTAATAGCCGCGTAATCTCTCTCTGTGTCTGGTCGAATTATCGCAGGCCGTCGACCCCGAGAGGAAAGCCTTCCTTGACCGCACGGGCTTTGCCGTCAACGCGATCGAGCGAAATACACACACACACACGCGCGTATGCTTTTGTACTAGTGCAGACAATATAGTTTCTATTCTTTTAATCGTTAAATGTTTGTTTTGCTTTGCGTGAGCCTTTCCTTGCACGAAGCCCTTCCGGCTACTCTTTCCTTACAGGTTTTATCCATAGCAATCTTGGCGTCTAGAAGGGAGCTGTAAGCCGGGCATCGGCCTTATCCTGCCGCATCCGCGGGCTAGCGCGTAAACACCAACGTGCGAGCGTCCTGAGTTGAGCCAGAGCTGAGCTGGCCCCTCAGCAAGCAAACGTGAACTAGGAAAAGCGGACTCGTTGTCCGCGTTGTAACGCGAGTGTGTCTCCGTGGGTGCCCGGGAAACTCAGTCCCGGTCAGAGTATCCCTAGTATTGATTTGTGGCTATCAGGGCCATAAGTGAATACGGACACCCCGTTACAACTGGCGCCTGACCTTGTGGTTTGCATGAGATGCTCGGCAGAGGCCTTACACTCCCTAGTTGATATTTATGTAAATCAGCGTTTTATTTTCTCGTGTTAGTTACAACTTAATGCAGTTTAGTGTATTGTGTGTGCGCTTCGGATTTTTCAAGGCTGCGTGTGTTTACATTTGTGCCTCGACTCGCGCGTGGCCAGAGAGAGAGAGTCGATAAGTCGCTAAGGGCACGAGAGCGTGTCACGTTGTTGTCAGTCAACGAGGACTTACATGTATTATGAACATACATAATCCGTGTATAGTTCCTCGGCTAGGGCTTTTTGTAGCAATAGATTGTTTTGATTTTCCCATAGATTATATCTTTTGAAGTTATCTTGCATTACGTGTGTCTTTCGATAAATACTTAGAATACTACATTGGATTTGTTGACAAAGCCCAAGTCAAGGCGTACAAGCTTGCTTTTCGGCTTCAAGCAACATTGCGCTTAGCCGAACGCCTTGTTGACCGTGCGCATAAAAGCGGAGACAAGTAGCTGTGTGTAGGCAGGTACACAAAAACATAGTTGTATTTATATGTTCCTGTACTACATACACTTTACACTAGTAGGGAGTTACAGTTGTCGCGCTTAAGTTTAGATTAAAAATTTTTTTTTTTTTGATGAAGTAATTTCTCTTAAATTTCTTTTTTTCTGAAATCTTTTGTTTTTTTTTACGACAAGCTGTAAAGCTTAAAAGAGCTCTTAATTACGCTAAACTAACATTTGAGCGTAGAGTCAGCCCTAATTGTAGCTCCCCGATCCTTTTCTCTTCTCAGAGTGAGTTACACTCAGCTACACGTCCAATTTTTTTTTATATATATTTGTTGCGCCACCGAAGGGATAATGAAGAATTTAGAACTGCGTTCGGACGGATCGAGGATTGATAAAGCTGCCAGACTTGCACGCTGGTAGTCCAGAGAATATATTCCCCAAGATTTTACTAGGGAAATCAATCCAGTCGAAGACAGGACTAGACGCTGTGCCACTCGCTCTTCATTCATTGAGACTGCAGTGAATGAAAAGCTCAAAATGCCTCAGGAAAGCGAGGGAGAGAATGGCGAAGATGTCCACCCACTGCAACTTTTAGACGAAAAAGCAGTGCAGCAAAATCTACACCACACCTGCTTAATAGAAGAGAATCACTCCGAGGAGTCTGAAAGAGACAACGACGAGGAATCGGCCGACGTCTACGACAAAACAAGAAAACAAGGGAAGACACCAGCTGTGCGAACTCCAGGCCATCCCCTAAAAGATACGCCCTACGCAAGTTCAGTAGGAGAAGAAAATGAAGAAGTCTTTAAACTCACGACCAGCGGTGGCAAACCGTTTGTTGTGCCTGTGGAATTTGCCAACGAAGTTCTACAGATGAGGAAGCAAATTGATGATTTGCATCTCAACCGGGAACACCAAGAAAAAGAGTTGAAAAGATACAAAGAGTTGCAGAGTAGCACTAGGCCCGATAGAAATTCGTCGATATTAGGTGCAAATCAAGCGTGCCTCACAAATTGCGAAAGCTATAAAGTACAGTTTCAGGACACCTTGACACAGCACTATTTTAATAGCGAGGGTTTTGGTAATCAAACAGCAGACTTAGGCAAGCAGAAGCCTTCTAGCCGCTCCACTCCATTGGCATCGGACTTCTGTCCAGCCTGGGGGGGGAGGGAGAAAACTACAAGTAGTGCTCAAGCGGCCGGCAACTTCAACAATAGAGAGCAAATTCGCGATCTGGGCCAAGTAGTGCGTAAGTGGGATCTTAAGTTCATAGGGGAAGGTAAAGAGAGCTTTGACGGCTTTTACACAAAAGTACAGGAATGCCAAGAGTTCGTCAACCTTTCGGACGACGAAATGCTTCGAGCGGTGCCCGCGCTCCTAAGCGACAATGCGCTCCTCTGGTTTCGCAACGAGAAATGGAGATGGAGAACCTGGGCAGAATTCGTGACCGCAGCAAGAAAATGGTTAGACATCGGCAAGGGTTTGCAGCACAAGCTGAAGCAGGACACGCTAATGCGCCGAAAATACGACGGCGAGCCAGTACGGGGCTATCTAACGCAACTTACGGCGATGTTGCGTCGATTAGACCCACCGATGGATGCAGAAGCAGAAGTCGATCTGCTTATTGCCAATATGAGGCCGGAACTGCAGCTGTGTATTAAACGGCATGAGGTGCGCGACTCGTGGGACCTGCAAACTCAAGCCGTGGAGGCCGAACGGCTGCTACAGGTCAAAGAAACCTTTCAGGAACCTCCAGCGCCAGAGTATTTTGCGCTACCAGAGTTAGCCTGTCCAAGAATAGTACCAGTGTCAAAGAAACCCAAGCCATCCCCAAAAATCGGCGCCGTAGATGCGAAGGAAACGGCCGACAACCCGACAATCTTGAGCCTGCTACAGAAATTGGTTATCGAACAAGAAGCCAACAGACGCACCAATGAAAAATTGCTGCAACAACTCTTTCGGGCAAAACAGGAAAGAAATGACTCCGGCCGGAACGGTGACAACCGAGAGAACGAAGAGGTAGAACAGCGGAAGACAACGCAACCAAGAAAAGAAGAGGACACGAACAGTAAAAAGCCAAGGCGCCAAGGGCGTGGCGTGGCGTCAGCGGAACGCACGCCAGGGAAGCCACGGTGCTTCGGCTGTAACTCTACAGAGCATCGCTTCCTGGACTGCCCCTGCAATCCGGGAAACGCCAACCCGGGAGCGTAAGCGAGGGAATTACGCTTCCTTGGGATTCACAACCCTCGTTTGCGAGCATTTCTTGTGCCCCTCAGCCCCCCCTCCTGAAGTGCACCAGGAAGAGGTCCCAGAGCGAGATTGGGAAGAGAAGGGCCGGTGCTGGCTTCCACTCACGTTACAGGGGTACAAATTTCAAGCCCTTGTAGACAGCGGTG